GTTCATTTGAAGACCTTAGTTTCGGATATGTAATATTATTTGGAGAATAGGTTGTCGTTGAAATTTTTACACTGCTACTTGACTCTTGATTCTTGAGGATTATGCTATTAGACTTCTAACAGACTGTTAAGTTTTAGATAAAATGAGAAATGCTTTTATTGTAATTATCTACATTTCTAAATGCACTTTCAACATTGGCCCCTCTACCATCCCCAACTATCGTTTCTTGCCGAGGCTCAGTTTAAATGAATAATAAGAAAAGGGATCTTCTGTTATTATTTGAAAATCCTCAATCTTTGGTTATTGAACTTGTGGGAAATAAGTTACAACTTTTTTATCCATCTTTTCTTTTATTGTTTAAAATGAGAAATAGCACATAAACAACCTTTGGGTTGCCTTGAAATATGTTCTTTATTGTCTGAAGATGAAACCCCTACACAGCTACAATCTTTGGATGGCTTCAATGATTTTCCACAAATTTACAAATGACTAGGAGATTAATGTGGATTTGGTTTAATATTAAAAGTACTCTATAAATTTGATGTTTAACTCATTTCCCTTCATCTATATTTGCTCGGTGGGGGACATCAATGATTAGCATGTCAGCTATAGACTTCTACTGCTCGGTTGACAAAGTCAAAGGTGTGGACGGAAAGGATCGTGTTGTTGTGACATTTGATGGGAAGTATTTGCCATATACTGAGCAGGTTAATTCTCCATCTTGTTTTATGGTCTTTGAAAATTGAATAGATCTCACTTTATTATACATGTGTTGCATGAAATGATAGAGTTTGAGCAAATGAAAAGAAAGCATCATTGCTTCAGAAGAACCATGGACAACTAGTATGTGAGGAGTAAAATGATTTGGTGACACAATTCAATAAATGTAGATGAATCTAATATTTTCCAAAATGAGGTTTCTTTGTTTTTTTAGGGTGTGAAGTAATTTTTTTTTTTCAATTTTCATGGAGAAGTATTCATTTCTTTCTTTTTCATTTATTTTCACGATTAAGTTTGAGTATTTCTTCTTTACCCATTTCACACTGACGACAATATTTTTTTATAATCAAACTAGAGATAGACTTTATAAATGCTTGTTGGGTTATTCTCTCTAGCGCTTCTTTTTTGCTTCTATAAACTATAGATCCTTGTTGAGATACATGTTAAGCAATAAGTCCCACTTCGAATAAGATAAAAATATTCATAACATATAAGGGTATGATTTACTCTTCTTAATAAGATTGACCTTTTAATATGGACCCCCAAATCTTCATGTAGTATCAAAACTCATTAAGCCCCAATAAGAAACTCCATCTGACTAAAATTCAAAACGAGCACACAGACTTCTAGATTGTTGTGCAGAAACGAGTCACTATGTTGCTTGGGCAGGATAAATCCCATATCAAATAAAAATAGATACATTAACCAACATATAAAGATTTGGACTAATATATGTATATTTTTTTTTTATTAATAAGATTGACCTTTTACAATTAACTGTAAGTCTTAATATATGTTGGTCTATGTGTTGGGTTTCCATTTTAAAATGTCAGCCATGTTAAGTTGAGTAATTCAATTCCTAGTATGTTAGTCTATATTTTGGTCTTTAACTAATATGAGATTTATTTCGTAACATGTCCTTGCAAGATGGTTGGTTGTTTGAGTAGATCAAGTTTGAAATTCTTGTGCTTATTATGAGTCTTAACCAATTGTTCGTTCGAGCTTAATGAGCTCTAAAGATTTGAAATTTTATTTTAAAATGTCAACCTTGTTAAGATGAGTAACTCAATCCCTTATTTGTAGATCTATATTTTGGCGTTTAATTGATGTGGGATTTATCCTTTAATAACACATGTAGTGGACTTTGTCCATGTAAACTTGTTATAGTTTCAGTTTTCTTTAATTGATTTCATTCTTGTTGCTGACACCTTCCTAAGTTGCCATCAGGCTACAAATGTGTAGTTTATACAAAATGCATGAGAAAAATAATCTTGATGGAGATAATGTGGAAGAAAGCAAACCACTGCACCCGCATGTTTGGTAGTGATGGAAAGAGATCTGAAACTATTTTGTTTACTAATATCTTCTCTCTTGAGTTTTTTCATCTATTATGGTAAAAGAACATTGCTACCAATCATTAGGGTTATCATAATGACACTTTCGAGTAGCAACTTGAATTTTTTATTTTTTATTTATTTATTTATTTATTTTTTTGTCATAGGAACTCGTATTTAAGCATACATGATGTTTATTTGTTTCTTTTCTTGGGCAGCTATCTGAGCATATGGTATCAAGAAAGTAAGAGAACTAAAATCATTGAGGCAATTCAAACCAGAGTAACTGTCCCTTACACATTGTATGCAATAATGCAAGTATATTGCTTTGTGGGTTTGCGAATAAGAGTGGCATTATATCTATATTGTAATTCAAAGAATATAAATACGCATTATACTGTATGCTTACTTATCGGATGGACAATAAGATACTTGAATTGGGTTCTTTTATTCTTGTGCACATTTAAATTTTCCTTCAACCTTGCCTGATCTGATTTATTTTTAAGAGTGTGTTCTCTTAGTTTCGATTTAACGTAATTGTTCTGTTGAATCTTTTGAAACTTGTGACATTTTGGGCTCACAGTGTAATTTGACACAAGTGGCAGCCATTGCCAAGAGCCTGAAAACGAGCTTTTGCTTTGTAAAATTTCAGGATATACACATATTCTCTGTACTGCCCGTTGACAATGAAACCTAGTTGGTAGACATAGAAGTTGAGCAGGTTCTGTTCCCATGATATTCTTAATCTCCAAGTGGTTTTCCGGAGTCTTTTTGGTCTGGGGACAGCTTTGTGTTTATGATCTAAAGCTATTACCTGTGAATTAGCTTTAAGCCTTTGACTTGCTTTGTCAATATCTTCAATTTGTAGAAAACGAAGCTTATGTTTGGGCGAGCCTAATCAATGACAAACAATTTCACAATAAATACTTGAGTGAATACAGTACTGAACACACAATATATTTCGATGCCTCACCACTAATAATTAATGAAATACTCCAAGACAATGTAAAGACAAAATTTCCAAGAAAATACACAAAATAATCTCGAATTTTCTGTCAGGAAAATGACTCCAAATCTACATGTTTGTTCTGGTGGGGAAAGCTTGATTCTTGCATGGTCTTGGTTACTCTGTTATGCAACTCCTCTGAACTATAACATTCTTTAAACCTTTTACCATTTAGCTGGGAAGAACTCGGCAGTCAGATCCCAAGAAATGCCAACAAATGGTATTACGTTTCAATAAAAACATCAGTTTGAGTTATATGTGCAGTACTTTGATTGTTTCATGAATATTTAGAAGAGGCTGAAAAATGACAAAGGCAATGCTGCTGGATGCCGGATTTTGCTTCCAGGTTGCTGGCTCTATCCAAATTTTGTCCAGTTCCATAGAGTCCAACATCACCTTTTCAAGGTTAACATTTATCCTGAAAACATTATGAAGAATTTTTTATTTTTTATTTTTTATTTATTATTATTATTATTATTTTTTTTTTTTGGCCAATACTGAAAATGAGGTTAGTCCAGGCCAGTTATATAATAAACACAAAATTTAGTAGATAAGGAAATAGTGTGCACACGTGCAAGCCTGTGTCTGGGGTACAGAGAGAAGGAAAAAGTTGTATGAGTGATACCTGATATCTTCTTCAGTACATTCCCATATTCGTTTCTGATATTGTCAAAAAATGTGATGGAAGAAATATGACTTATTTTGTAGAAACCCACACCTGGTGTAGCGAGCCAAATCTTTTTGTAAAATTTAAGTCGCTACCAAATCATTCTTTTAAAAAAATGAATGAGTTTATAAAAATGTTATCCCAGAATAAATTAGTGACAAGTGAAAGGGTAAAACATTTAAAATATATTCCATTTATTCATTCATTACAATTGACGGAACATGTATTCTACATTTAAAAAATAATAATAATAAAAAATACATGCTTGAAAGCATAATATGCTTTTCTAGTTCTTCAATGTGTGGGACACCGCCCCCAAATGAAAGAACAGTACCAAATGCCGCCTTATTTATTTAAGAAATCCAAACACATTACAATTTACACCATAAAGGCTATGGAACATATTACAATTTACTCTAGCACGATTGAATATATCCACCAGTCAGCATTTATTACTTGAAGTGACTTTGGCAGTCTTCACATTTCCATTATCTTTCATCAGTGAAGTTGGTGAAAGAAATAATATTTAATTCAAACTTTATTGAAAATGAAATAATAGTAGCATGTAAAATCAGATTATTTTATGCTTCACCAAGTATTGACACGGAATAATATTTAATTCGTTTATTCTTGGGTAAGTTATGTCTTTTGGATCCAAAAGTTACGTCTACTCCTTTTTTTTTTCTTTTCTGCATGTTTAAGCATTCACAATCAAAGTGCAATTTTAACATTTAAAGAAATGGAAATATTAATTCACTAGAAAACATGCAACTAAATTTTAACAAACATGTCCAATAATTAAATTAAACATAAGTGTCTAAGGCAACTAAATTAAAGATAAAATAAAGTTACGTGCTAGATTTTAGATTTTGTTCTCGTGAAATGAGGCACAGTCACACCATCGAACTGCTGCACTCCGACACGACCCGAATTAACCTGTAAGGTAGGGAAAAAGAGATGAGTACGTGAGAATACTCAGTGGGATATCAGATTTTTTAATGGTGCGATCCCGAATAATAATTTTAAAACATGTGTCAGAATATCATACCGTCGCATAACTTTAAAATCCGGTAAGAGCTCATATCATTTCATTTCATTGTACCGGAATGACCATATCATTCATATCATAGCATTCATATCATAATTTTAACTTTCATGAGTATAAAATTCGACAACATGAAAAAAAAATAATTAAACGGGACATAAAAACACTGCACCTCATATCCTACCTCATAAAGTTGAATAAAGTTTTGAAAGATGAACTCCAAAATCACGTTCCTGATCTTCTAATTTTTCTTGGCCGTGGTGAAAATTATGGGACCCTTTTTGTTTATTATTTATGCTGAAAACAAATACCCAATTGAATTTGTTGTGTACGTGTGTTTATATACTATATAAGAGTGTGTGGTTAAAGTGGAAACGTGTGCCACAAGATGATAAAATTATGACCACCTTTCAGGTTTTAGAATAATATAGGGTGAACGGTTAACCTTTTCTTTCTTTATGCACATGAAACGTGGGTATAGAGGTGGGGAGTTATAGTATCTGGACCAGTTTATATGTTGGAAGTGGGGAGTATATAATATATAAATCCGAATCAATTAATGTTGCAAGTGGGGAGTTATATAATATATAAATTCGAATCAATTTTATTGAAAACAAGAAATACACGTGGCCGACTTAATAACACAAATTAATTAAATAAAATATTATAAAGTATCAATTTCTTTAAACGTCACTATCTTAGGCTTAGATTATTCGAATCAAATTTTTCTTGAACATAATATGCATGATTAATTACGATCTATCCATCGAGCCTAATATTCATATATTTATTGTCGATCTGTCAACATCTACATTTTCACCCAAATAAAATTAAAATTTACTATGTATACATTAGTCCCTAAACTTCCAAAATATTTAAAATATAACACACATAAATTAAATTATGTTCTATGAAATTTCAGGACATTACAATCTCCCCTCCTTAAAATATTTTCATCCTCAAAAATTTACCTGGGTCAATCGAAGAGCTCTGGATACTTGGTTTTAAGCTCTTCTTCTTTCTTCCAAGTTGACTCATCAAGTCCATGATTTCGCCACTGGACCTTGACCAAGGAAACCTCTTTGTTTCTGAGTTGATGTAGCTTTCTATCCAAAATCATCGTCGGGGTTTCTTCATATGATAAGTCCTTCTGTACGTCCAATGTCAGATAACTTATTACATGATTGGGATCATGAACATTTTTCTAGCATCGATATATGAAACACATTTCGCACTGCTGCAAGTTCTGATGGTAAGGCAAGTCGATAAGCCACAACACCAATCCTTTCAAGGATCTCAAAAGGTCCAATAAATCGCGATCTCAACTTTCCCTTCTTGCCAAATCTCAACACACCCTTCATGGGTGCTACTTTAAGGAAAACTTTGATGCCCACTCTAAACTCCAAATCATTTCTCCTACGATCTGCATAACTTTTCTATAGGTCATATGCTGTCTTTATTCTGGCTCCAATCTTGTCAACTGCCCCAACTATTCATTCAATAATTTCAAGACCTAAAATTCTATTCTCTCCAACCTCATCTCAATGGGGATCTGCACTTCCTATCATAAAGAGCTTCATATGGGGCCATACCTATAGTGGCCTGGAAACTATTGTTGTAAGCAAACTCCACTAAAGGCAGGTGTGTCTCCCAACTACGTTCAAGATCCAAACACATGCCCTCAACATAACTTCCAGAGTTTGGATGGTTCTTTTTGATTGCCCATCCGTCTGAGGATGATAAACAATGCTAAACTTCAGTTTCGTCCCCATGGCTATCCGCAAACTTTTCCAAAATTTAGATATGAACTTCGGATCTCTATCTGAAACAATAGTGACTGGAACTCCATGCAATCTAGTCATCTCTTTGATGTATAACTGTGCAAGCTGTTCCATGTTAAAGTTTATCTTGATTGGTAGAAAATGGGTTGACTTCGTCAAACGATCAACCACTACCCAGATAGCATTGTGACCTTTTCCTGTCCTTAGGAGGCCTACCACAAAGTCCATCGTTATGTGTTCCCACTTCCATTTTAGAATATCCAACAGTTTCAGTAGTCCTGATGGCCTTTGGTGTTCTGCCTTGACCTGCTGACAGTTAATACATTTTTTAATGAACTGACCAATTCCTCTCTTCATATTTCTCCACCAAAATGTATCTCGGAGATCTCGATACATTTTCATACCACCTGGATGTGCAGAATACTGGGTAGAATGAGCTTCTTCCAGTTTCTCATTTCTTATACTTTCATCTTTAGGTATACATGACCTTCCTTCGAAAGTCAGTGCATTATCTTCAAACATTTCAAATCCTATACGTTTGTTTGTACCAACCTCAGTCATTATCCTCTGTAGAAATGGATCCTTATTCTATGCTTTCTTAATTCGATCCCGAAGAGTAGGCCAAATCATAAATGCTCTTACTCTTGCAGTAGTTTGAGTCGGTGGTGTGATAACTTCCAATCTCAATTTCTCATAGTCCCTTATCAAGTGCTTCTGCACTATAGGTAGAACTGCTAACAGTGATTCTGTCTTTCTACTTATCGTATCTACAACTACGTTAGCCTTATCCGGATGGTAATGAATCGTGTAGTCGTAATCTTTCACTAATTCCAACCATCTTATCTGTCTCATATTCAGTTCCTTCTATGTGAAGAAGTATTTAAGACTCTTGTGGTCTGTATAAATTTCACACTTCCTACCATAGAGATAATGATGCCATATCTTTAAGGCGTGAACTACCGCTGTAAGCTCCAAGTCGTGCATTGGATAGTTTTATTCATACTGTTTCAACTGTCTCGAGGCATAAGTAACCACTTTTCCATACTACATCAGTACACAGCCCAAACCCTGCTTGGAAGCATCGCTGTAGATCACAAATCCCTTTGAACCTTCAGGTATTGTCAATACAGGAGCTGAAACTAGTCTCTGCTTAAGTTCTTGAAAACATTTTTCACATTTTTTCATCCACTGAAACTTCACACCCTTTCTTGTTAACTGAGTCATCGGCCCCACTGTTCTTGAGAAGCCTACAATAAATCTTCTGTAATAGCCAGCCAATCCCAAGAAACCGCGGACTTCACCCACACTAGTCTGCCTTGGCCAATTTGTTACTGCTTCCACTTTATCAGGGTCTACTTCGATTTCTTGGACGGTCACCACGTGACCAAGAAAACTTAAGCGATCAAACCAAAATTCGTACTTCTTGAATTTGACATATAATTTCTCCTTTCTCAAAGTTTCGAGTACTATTCGAAGTTGTTCCTCATGCTGCTTCTTATCCTTTGAGTACACAAGTATGTTGTCAATAAATACTATGACGAATTGGTCTAAGTATTGATGAAACACTTTGTTCATGAGATCCGTAAATACAGCTGGAGCATTGGTCAAACCAAAAGGCATGGCAGTAAATTCATAATGCCCATAACGAGTCCTAGAAGCAGTTTTCGGTATATCGCTTGCCTTAATTTTCAGTTGGTTATACCTTGATCTCAAGTCGATCTTTGAAAACACTGTAGCACATTTAACTGGTCAAACAAATCTTCTATTCTTGGTAGCGGGTACTTATTTTTGATGGTCAAATGGTTCAATTCCCGGTAGTCAATGCACATCCTCATACTCCCATCCTTCTTCTTAACAAAAAGTACAGACGCTCCCTAAGGAGATACACTCGATCGAATAAGACCTTTCTCCAATAACTCCTCTAATTGCAACTTCAATTCTTGAAGCTCTTTCGGTGTCATTTGGTACGGGGCCTTAGATACTAGTGTTGCTCCAGGAACCAAATCAATTGTAAATTCCACTTGCCTATCTGGTGGAATGCCTGGAAAAGCTTCTGGAAACACGTATGCAAAGTCTCACACGATGTTAATATCATTAACAGTCGATTCTATATGTTGAGAACCGATGATGTTAACCAAGAATCCCTGGCCTGACTCTTTTCTCAACATCTTCTCCGCTTGTATAGCCGATATAAGACGAGGTAGAGACTTGAACTTTGCTCCAAAAAAACGGAACTCCTCCTCTCCCGGTCTATGAAATAACACTTCTTTCTCGTGACATCGAATGGTTGCATGATTAAGTCCCAACCAATCTATGCCTAAAATAACGTTGAAATCTTTCATCTCCAAAAGATATAAGTCAGCCTCTAGTATTTTTCCATCAATCCCTAACTTCATAGATTTAGTCATCTGATTTGTGCAAAGAGTTCTTCCTGAAGGGATGCTAGCCTCTAATTCGTTATTTGTTTTCACACATGCAAAGTTGGATCTAGCGACGAAGGATGTAGAGATAAAAGAATTGGTAGCCCAAGAATCAAAAAGTGCGTAAGCAGGTACATCAGATAGCAATAGAATACATGTTTTGCAACTCTAGTGTTAGACTATCAAATAAGGGACAAAGATGAAACAACGTGTAGTCCTAGGAAAAAAAATACCATAGGCAGGTATGTTTAAAAATTAATAATAAAATACATGCTATTACATTCAGATCCTGTTTAACCTCGTGCTGATCCAATGCAAAAACTCGGGCCTTTCCTTTCTTGTTCTGGTCGTGATCATCATCTATCTTCTTTGGAGGCTCTGGACAGTTGAGAGAAATGTGTCCGGGCTTACCACACCGAAAGCACACATTTTTCTCGAGGGAGCATTCATCCTTGTGGAGTTTATTACACCGAGGACAAGGTGTAATATTCTCACTCATCCCACTAATGCAAATTCCTATACTTAGCCTTTTATTCTGTCAATTGAGTCTGTACTTGCTCTGATCATTCCATTTTTTTTCCCAACAACTCATTGCTCTGATGGGCATACTGTTCAAATGTGGTCCTCTAATATGAAATAGCATGAGCTCTCTTCAACATTTCACGATATGAGGTGAAACGATGGGACATAATGATCATGCCGATCTCTGGGCGCTGTCCATTCTCGAACCTCCTAATCTTCTTAACTTCGGTATCCACCAAGTGCGAGACATACCTTGAGAGCTGTTCAAACTACCTTTCATAATAAGTAAGTGATATGTTTCCCTACCTGAGCTGTAGAAACTCTGATTCCTTGAAGTCCCTTAAAGCCTATAGAAAATATTTTGCCATCACTTTATCTTTAAATTGCTCCCAAGTCAGGTTACGTTGCTGCTCTTCCGTCCTCGTACGTGTAACAGATTCCCACCACTGACCAGCTACTCCAATCAACATAAATTCTGCGCATAGTACTTTTTGTGCATCCGTACAAGCAATGTGTCAAAATATGCGCTCCAGGCCTCTTATCCATTCTTCGACAGCCAGTGGGTCAGAATTACCGTCAAAAGTGGAAGGCCTTTACCTACGAAATTGGTCGACCAATGAGATAGCTCCAGGGGCAAAATGAGGTGCATTCTGCTGTGGTGGTGCATTTTGTGGTGGAGGTGCTTGATTCTGCTTGCTCAATTCTTGTACCGCTCACAATAATTCACGCACCAAATTCGTGTGGGCAGATGGTGGTGCCATTTCCTGAAGGAATTTAATAGTAAGTGATCCATTCCATACTAGTTCCAAGCCTAACATATTATGCTTTAGCTTTCGTAAGGTGCTATAGCATATTTCATGCTCGAGTATCAGGCTTTACATGATATATAAAAATATCATAAGGAATAATTGTACACGTCATGAAACTTAAAAGTAGGCGATACAAGATGTAAGGTTACACTAACAAAATTTGAATTTAATACTTCATTTCCTCACCAATTACATACCTTAGGGGTGTTGGAGGGTGACTGATTGGTGGTCGTGTGACGATAATCCTTTCATCTTATACTTGCTTTAAGAAAATGGGTAATTCGCATATAACCACGTTCAACTTAATAATTTTCAGCATGAATCTCATTCATGTACATAGAGAAAGTTGTATATAAATTTCTATAGCATTTCACGCATGGTCAATGGAAACATCCTTAAAAATACAACTTTCATCCTTAAAAATACAAGTTTCATTCATCATCAGCTTTTTTTAAAGAACGTGAACAGTAACTTTGGGACTTACTGTTCATGTGAACAGTAACAAGGTGTACTGTCCACGTGAGTATATAAATGTATATTAAATCAATATACAAGAAAGGTGACATCTTTCTGTACGTACACAAAAATACAACACTGACAATTAACTCAATTATACCTAAAGATTATTATTTTCATGGCATACTTTCACCGTTTTCAAGAAAAGCACTACGGTGCCACGGTTCACAATGAACAGTGACTGTGTGAACAGTGATAATCATTGTTCACGTCACTAAACCCCCTTTTTTTTATTTTTTTTTTCCTTCTTTTTTTGTGTTTCTACTCCTAAATCATGTATATTCATAATTGGTCTATAGGAAAAATAAACCTACGCTCTGATACCAAACTGTAGCGACCCAAATCTTTTTGTAAAATTTAAGTCGCGACCAAATCATTCTTTTAAAAAAAGTGAATCAGTTTATAAAAATGTTATCCCAGAATAAATTAGTGACAAGTGAAAGGGTAAAACATTTAAAATATGTTCCATTTATTCATTCATTACAATTGACGGAACATGTATTCTACATTTAAAAAATAAATAAAAAAATACATGCCTGAAAGCATAATATGCTTTTCTGGTTCTTCAATGTGTGGGACACTGCCTCAAATGAAAGAACAGTACCAAAAGCTGCCTTATTTATTTAAGAAATCCAAACACATTACAATTTACACCATGAAAGCTATGAAACATATTACAATTTACTCTAGCACAGTTGAATATATCCACCAGTCAGCATTTATTACTTGAAGTGACTTTGACAGTCTTGACATTTCCATTATCTTTCATCAGTGAAGTTGGTGAAAGAAATAATATTTAATTCAAACTTTATTGAAAATGAAATAATAGTAGCATGTAAAATCAGATTATTTTATGCTTAATCAAGTATTGACATGAAATAATATTTAATTCGTTTATTCTTGGGTAAGTTATGTCTTTTGATTCCAAAAGTTACATCCATTCCCTCTTTTTTTTTTTTTCCTTTTCTGAATGTTTAAGTATTCACAATCAAAGTGCAATTTTAACATTTAAAGAAATGGAAATACAAGTCACTAGAAAACATGCAACTAATTTTAACAAAAATGTCCAATAATTAAATTAAACATAAGTGTCTATGGCAACTAAATTAAAGATAAAATAAAGTTACGTACTAGATTTTAAATTTTCGTCTCGTGAAATGAGGCACAATCACACCATCGAACCGCCGCACTCCAACACGACCCGAATTAACCTATAAGGTAGGGAAAAAGGGGTGACTATGTGGGAATACTCAGTAGGGTATCATATTTTTTTAATGGTGCGATCCCGAATAACAATTTTAAAATATGTGTCAGAATATCATACCATCACATAACTTTAAAATCCTGTAAGAGCTCATATCATATCATATCATTTCATTTCATTGTACCAGAATGGCCATATCATTCATATTATAGCATTCATATCATAATTTTAATTTTCATGTGTATAAAATTCACCAACATGAACAAAAATAATTAAACGGGACATAAAAATATTGCACCTCATATCCTACCTCGTAAAGTTGAATAAAGTTTTGAAAGATGAACTCCAAAATCATGTTCCTAATAGTCTAATTTCTTGGCCGTGGTGAAAATTATGTGACCTTTTTTGTGTATTAATTATATTGAAAACAAATACCCAATTGAATCTGCTGTGTACGTGTGTGTATATACTATATAGGAGTGTGTGGTTAAAGTGGAAACGTGTGCCACAAGATGATAAAGTCATGACCAACTTATAGGTATCAGAATAATACAGGGTGAACGATTAACCTTTTCTTTCTTTATGCACGCGAAACGTGGCTATAGAGGTGGGGAGTTATAGTATCTGGATCAGTTTATATGTTGCAAGTGGGGAGTTATATAATATATAAATCCGGATCAATTAATGTTGGAAGTGGGAAGTTATATAATATATAAATTTGAATCAATTTTATTGTGAACAATAAACACACGTGACCGACTTAATGACACAAATCAATTAAGGGTCCGTTTGATTGCAAAGGTGGAATTTTGGTGGAAAGAAAATGAATTTCAAGGAATTGAATTACCTAGAAATTGTTTTCCTGGGAATTGTCAATTAATAGTGTTTGATTGGTATAATTTTTCATATGGAAAATGTTGAAATAAAGTGTTTTTTAGTGTTCGTTTGGCTTTATTTTACATGAAAATTGTCAATTTAAGGGATATTCACTTTTACCATTGTTCCTAGAATTTGTTTTCTTTGCCAAGCAAAAAAAAAAAAAAAAATAAAAAAAACATCTATATTTTTTTGTTCTTTTTACTTTTTTTTTCATGAAAATTTTCAATTAAAAGAATATTCTCTTTTACATTTTACAAATGTTGATAAAATTTGTTTCCATTGTTGAAAAAAAGAAAGCTAGAAAACTAAGGGGGGGGGGGGGGGGGGGGGGGGAATTCAAATTCCATGGAAATTTTGGACAATGAAACACCTTTAATTGGATGGAATGGAAAATGGAGTAATCAAACATACTCTAAATAAAATATTATAAAGTATCAATTTCTTTAAACGTCAATATCTTAGGCTTAGATTATCCGAATCAAATTTTTCTTGGGCCTAATATGCATAATTAATTACGATCTATCCATCGAGCCTAATATTCATATACTTATTGTTGCTCCGTCAACATATACATTTTCACCTAAATAAAATTAAAATTTACTATATATATACATTAGTCCCTAAACTTCCAAAATATTTAAAAGATAACACACATAAATTAAATTATGTTCCATGAAATTTCGGGACATTACACTTGGTTCTCCCTTTATGGATTGAAGCCGGTATAAAAGGTCCTCCGGCATGTCTGAAATCTCCAATGTTTCAACGGTAGTGACAAATTTCAATCTATCTGGAATCATTTCTAATTTTCTGCATCCAACAATATTTAAACGAAGAAGATGACTCATGGCTCCTTCTTCCACTTCCACTTCTCCAAGCTTGGAATCTCATGAAATTCAAGAGTTCTGAGTTGAGGGAAACCTTGTCGAGAACAACACAGTTCCTTTCCCAGAAAGGCATTCAGATTGAGAGACAAGAATTTTAGTGTAGGTAACTCTCTAAGATAGCAATAGGGTCTTCCTTAAGTTCACTTTTTCTTAAGGTTAAGCTCATCAGGCTTGAGGAAAAAATAATGTTATTCTGGTAGCTTAGTCGCGTGTCCAATCAAATCCAAATTTTGGAGATGATCACACCCCACGAGTTGTCTCAGAAAATTTAGCCCTTCTTCTGAACAAAATCTGTAGTAAATTCGGGAGGAATCCCTCAGAAGATTTGAGTTGCTTATCAAATAGTTCTGAAGAAATCCCAAAATTATGGGATACTAGAATATTTTGTTATGTTTAGTTAGGAATAATTTTATTTTTTTCCCTTATTTTATTTTTTTCCTTATTTAGAAGATTACATTCAATTCCCGTCATTCCCTATTGTCCTATATATTAAGCACTTGAGACTTGTAATATCATTGAGAAATGTAGAATACATATTTTTTTCTCATTCATCTCATATGGTATTAGAGCCACGACTCAAACCCAAACAAGGCAAGTCAATGGCAGAAAACACAAGCCAAAACTCTGTAAATTTGATGAAACAGAAGTCGCTCCAACCATGAGTTTATTTGGAATGGATAAT